GAAATTCTGAGCCTGTTGATCGCCAACTAGTAGTGAAATCATCACAGATCCATTGATTTTGTTTGGATTTTTATAATTTTTTCTGTGTAATGAGTATAGTGTTTGGTGAAAAGAATGGCATATTGCCTGATGTCATAACTTAAGGGAATAGTTGATTGCCAAAATGAAGTAAAGATGAAAATAGTGGAAAATAAGTGAAAAAAACGCCTGTTTTTTTGCATTAAATTGATGCGAAATCATGTAGAAATGTGTTTTAAGAATTATTTTTTCAGTGGATGTTGTCTGCACATGTGTTCTGTGTATCTGGAATGCATTTATTGAGAACCTACCCAACCCACTAAGAATTTGATGAAAAAAATAATTTTTCACATTTTTCTGATAAAAAATAAAGGGTGCTTACACTAAAATGCCCACAATTTTTTTTCGCGATATTTCCGGCAGAGCAGACCCTCCAATTATTTGTTCTTAGGGTCAAAGTTAACAGAAAAAACACAAATAAAAAGTATGGCAGACCATGTCAGGTTCAACCCATTTTTGAGACTTTGGCTCCCTGACTATGTCACCTTCCACTCATTTCTCTCTAGTGCTTTGCTCCGAGAAGGAGTTTCATGATGCTGCGAAGAGGAATGACACTGTCAGAATGCAGGTGCTGATAAGAAGAGGGGTGGACATCAAAGTCAAAAATAAGGTGAGAGATATTGCCAATACTGAACCACCAGAAACATACGTGAACATTGCAAATCTGCAAGAACTGCTTGAGGACTGACACGTGCACAGTTGGTTCTGTACATTATTATATTCTAGTAAAATATGTTTCAAAATGCCCCAGGATGTTTGAAATAATATGTTCATACAAACGCTAAATAAACTATTATGTGTGTACTTCTGAACATGGTGGCACAGCAAAGCATGCTGAACAAACTGCACAGGAAGCTGTGTCAGAGGAAGTTATGTTGCCTTTCAGCATGCCAATTTCTCTGCCTGGAATGTTTTGTTTTTCCCAGTTATACACCAGAGTGTCGGACACACACATATTGTGGTCCTCGGCACAGGATATGACCCTTATTTTACCCCAGACAACATTATTATTTATCACCTTTGACCATGGTAAAACATGACTCGTGAGACATTGTTTCATTTAATGTGATTTTCATTTTACAGATGGACCGTAAGGCCCTGCACTGGGCAGCTGGAGCTGGAAGTGAACAGGCCCTGCGTCTACTGCTAGACCACGACATGGATGTGGATGAAATGGACAGCGTACGTGTCAAATGCTTTCTCTATGCTGTCAAACTGTATTACAGGGAACATTTTCAAATTCGGTTGCATTTTAGGCTGAATATTTTATAAAGTTTCATGTTTATTTGCTCTATGACCACAAATGAGAGAAATACTGCTCCACCTGGTACATTTTTAATGGGCTGCTGTTCATTCACCATGTGGCTCGTACATTACTGGAGGCTATGAGCTTGTTACACCAACAACAATTGTTGAAGAGAAAAAGAGTGGCCCTGAAGCCCAAGGAAAAATATTTTTAGATAACCGAGTAGGTTGGTGTCTGAGTGATATTCTTTTTTTTTAAATATGTAAAATGTATATACAGAGTAAAGTGAAAGTGTTTAGAGACTGTAACTGATCAATGTTTCTTTTCTTTTTTAAGTACTTATAAAAAGTCCTCCTGAGGGTGACCATTATTTTTGTATAGTAAAAATTGTCTATGTCCTAGGAGGTCATAAAAAATTGTGTGGAGAATAATTAAATTATTTTACATAACTACACAGAGAGTTAAAATGATCTGAAAAATGCAGCTTATAATAAAAATAAATTTAGATAAAATATAGCATGTCAAATCAACTGGCCAGTTACAGTCTGTCAAAGCATTTTAGTGGCATTTCATACCCATATTCTACGCACACAGCGCTGCTGGTGAACTTTATCTGAATGGGATTGTTATCAAATAATGAAAGGTTCAGTAAGTGATTTCTGAGAAACACTGTTGAAAGTGGATTGGACCGAGCCGCACAACACACTTGTAGCCAATCAGCTGCAGGGGGCATGTCCACTCATGAGGAGAGAGAGTGAGCAAGAGGGAGATTTGAATTGAAGAAAGACTGTAGAAAGCGAGATGGCTGAGAGACATTACAAAATAGAAAAGGTCAGAAGAATATCACTGGAAAATAAGGGTTCTGATCAGGCAAGAGCTTTCGGCCCAGCGTTAATATTATATTATATTAATATTAGCTTTCCAGCATTGGAGAGACTGAAGTGGGAAGACCTGAAATCAGATGCAGAGGTTGAATTTTTTTTCTGCTCCATACGCGAGTAACAGTGCTTTTGAGTGTGTGTTGCTGGTGGCTAATAATGACAAACTCTTGCTTGTATTTATACTGCTTGTACAATTTTTGTTTTTTCCTTGTTCTTTCATAATCTTCACTTTATTTTCGCAAAGCTTTATTTTGCTTCGCTTCTGCTATGATAAAGAGACATCCACTCTTGCATTGCGGGTTCGTTTATTTAGGGGGCGAAGGAATGAAGGGAGGAGTGTGTTTGTTTTGGGTTGATTTAAAATATCAACAATGTTTCTCAGATATCGCTTACTGTTGTCAATTTAGGCTGGTGTTATTTCAGCTTTTGTTCATTTTTTATAGTTTTTGTTAATATTTCGAATTAGATATTTTCTGCTTTCGTTTTAATTTTAGTTAAAGTTTTAGTAATTTTTTGTGTTTTGTTCAAATGTATTAATATTTTCAAAGGTCATTAGTTTTTATTAACTTTTAGGCAAGGCAAGGCAAGTTTATTTATATAGCACATTTCATACACAATGGCAATTCAAAGTGCTTTACATAGAAGAAATTAAAATAATCAAAATAAATCAGAATAATTACAACAGTTTAGAATAAAAAATAAGAAATAATGAAAAATAAAAATTATGATAAAAATAAAATACAGTAAATTAAAACTATTTAGAATAAAATGAAGTGCAGTAACAGTCGGACGAACAGTGGCACAGTGCTCATTCTGAAATGATTTTAGATTATTTACATCTAGTTGTTTTAGTATTTCAACTTAAACTAAACTAAAATAAGTTATTTTATTTTTATTTCAAGTAATGGAAATGGTTTTTTATGACGTTCTTACTTGTTTTCCAGTTTGGTATGAATGCTCTGCTCTTAGCAGCGTGGTTTGGTCACCTGTCAATCCTAAAGATCCTTGTCTCAACCGGGGCAAAGCTCACCTCTGAAAACAAAGTAAGGCTCTTGGTAAAAATCCTTGACAAGTTTCAGATATCTTATATGAAGACAGTGGTAGCTTCTCACTCAATGTGCTCTGCTCACTCACCATACAAATGGGATTGTACTGTGTGTACTGCCCTAGATATAGACTTCAACATTAATTTCAATGCATCTCAGTGACTGAACTGTCACATTTCTTTTGTCCTCAGAATGGCTTGAATCTTTTGCTCTGTTCTGCCCAGAGGGGTCACATCAGTATTCTGAAGTATATCATGGAAGATCTGGAAAATGTGCAGCTTAATAAAGTCGACAAGGTGAGAAACTTTTTTTTTTTTCTTCCCAATACCCATGATCTTGAAGTGTAATGTATTTTATTACAGAGATCTTATACACTTATAGCACACAGTACTCTGCTGTTGTGTGTTCTACATACTCACACTTACAGAGCCATTTGCAATCACCAAATAGCCTACATATGAAGAGTTCAGATGCAAAAGCCTCTAAATGCCATTTGAAATTTTCTTCTAAAATGACCATTTTTATCAAGCTTGTATATTTAAGTTCAGTAATTTCACTTAAATGACAATTAATAGGTAATCTTCATTGCCATTTAAGTGAAATTACTGAACTTAAATATACAAACTTGATAAAAATGGTCATTTTAGAAGAAAATTTCAAATGGCATTTAGAGGCTTTTGCATCTGAACTCTTCATATATCCAATTACTTTGATCTAGTGCAGATAAATTATGACTATTTTATGTGTAATCTATTGTATTTGTATCATGTAGAGCCAGACCGATCTATCGGCCGGCCGATATTAAGCAAGCTGACATTGTAATTATAAGGTAGCTTATAACTATAAGGCAATGATTATACTAATTGACTAATTATTATTTTATTTATCAGAACTTTAATATATTTTGATGTTTCTCTGTTCTATTGGGACAATAAAAGAAACAAGTTTTTTTTTTAAATGCATTATCATATTATTTTATTTAAAACTCACAAATAACTAATGTTAGGGAAATCTGTTAATGTTTTGTTGCGGGTTTCTGACATAAAAAATAAATAAAAAAATATCGTCCAATACAAATATTTGTATCCATATTGGCCTTCAAAATCCTTTATCGGTCGGGCTCTAATATCATGCCTGTAAACTCGTCACATTTCGACCAGGAAAGTGTTTGACCCATATTTTTTTTATGCAGGGTGCACTCAGTGTTGTAAATGTATCAACACAATAAATTGTCGACATAATAAATAATTGACAAGAAGCTAAAATAATTACAGAGGCCTCTGGTTATCTTACGGCGCCCCTTTTCATGACACGTATGTTTTGGCGAATGGTGGGACTATATATCCTCCACAATTGACTGCAAACTGGCATTCAGATCTGCTGCCATTTAGTTATTAACACCCAAATTCCAACAATCCGATCAATTTCTGAAAGACTAAATCAAGTCCCGCCCTACTTTTTTTGTCATATCAGAAACAGTTTTCCTTGTATATATATATGGAAGAATATGGGGAAAAAACGCCTATTGGTATTCCCTAGAGCGAATATGGATTTTAAGGTGCTTTTACACTAGGGAAAGTTTTTAAAGATCGTTTGACTGATATGTGTAAGATCCGTTTTTGTGGGTGTGGAAAGAGTTGACACAGTTTGTCATATGATCACATGACATTTTGATCAAATATCAGATTTTTCTTGTAACATACTGTATTTGCAGAGAAAGATTTGCAGCATTCTCTGATTCATGTTGTAAGTGGTAAAAGTCTTTTGAGGCTCAGTTTTATGAATCGATTCAAGTCCCGAAAGTAGAAGAGAGCTGTTTTTCCTTTGAGAGTGACAATGATTGTGATGATTGCACAATGTTCATGCAAATTTCAGTTAAACATTTTCAAGGAATGACTTTGAACAATTGACTCAAGGAAGAGTTTTGTTGACTTAAAAACCAGACATTAAACAGAAACTTGAAAGCATAAAAATGATGAAGACTTCTTTCTTTTTCAATGTAATTCATAAATAGTAGGACATAACAACATTTTATCCATTACGTGTGGATTGCCAATATCAAATTGATTCACTTATATTATTTTCCTCTGTCTCTACGGCTTTTGTTACTTAATTCAGAGGTGAGGAAAATAAATGAATTGTGCACAGTCAATATGGATTGTGGGACATCTATTATGAATGTCAATTGTGATCTAATTGTGTCTTTAAAAATAGATTATGATAGCATTTATGCTATTCATTACACACAAGTATATGATGAGATTATGATGATGATTAAATCATTAATACCAATATCACATGATCAAGATTCTGGAGCAAGTTTCATTGTGCTTTCTGTCAAAACATTTTTATCACCCAATGAAATGTAATGTTAACAGCTGTAGAACATTTATGGACAGTAATACATTATGTCCTTTCTAAAGTGTCTCCGTTCTTCGGATGAGAAGTTAAATAAATATAAATGTAATGAATTATTAATAATCTGTTGTGTCAGTCAGGTAAGACGGCGTTTCATTTAGCCACAGAGCATGGACACCTGGAGGTGGTGGAGTTTCTCATTGGCGTGGGCTGTGCTCATGATCTCAAGGACAAGGTGAGTGTCACAGATGCACAGACGCTCCTCAGTGTGTGCTAATTAGATTTTCTCTACTACTAAACTCAGCAAAAAAGGTTTTCAGGTTACTGTATTTTAAAAATAATTTCATAAAATCCAAATAAGCTCTACTACAGATCTTTACTGTAAAGGGTTCAGCTGGTGCCACACCAAAACCTGGCTGATACTTTTGATATTGACCCCCCGTCTTTGTCCAGGGACTCATTATTCCAGTTCTGTTCGTCAAATGTCTGTGAAAATAATTCAGTTTTTGCCTCTGTTGTTGAATCTTTTTATGTTCGCACAAATATTTTCATGTTAAGAGATTTGCTGGAATTTTTTTTTTTGCTGAGTTTAGATGCAAAACACCAAAGTAGAGACCAAAGTGTGCCATGTAAGCCAAGTAAAAACTGTAGACTTAAGTGGTGTGACACTGTGGTGTTGATATGAGGTCAAAGATGTGTGCGTTGTCATATGTTCATGAACTGCAGGAGGAGAACACTGCACTGCATTTGGCAGCTAAGCAAGGCCACAGCGACGTCCTACAGAAGATTATTGAGACCGGGGAGAACATTGATGAAAGAAACATTGTAAGCCTCAATCCAATTGTAATAGATTTTCTGGTTTAGTGGCGTTTATTTGCTTCACATTTTCATCTTTCATCAGGACGGCATGACTGCTTTACATTTGGCAGCTGAAGGCGGTCATTATGAGTGTATCAGACTGTTGCTTGAGGCTGGCTGCAATGTGAATGAACTTACTCATGTGAGTGCAATGTTTTATATTAGCAGAAGTCTTCTTAATAACGAATGAGGTTTGCTAATGTGCTTCTTCTTATAGAACAACAGAACAGCTCTCCATCTGGTGGCCCAGCATGGCTCAAGTAGAGAGGTCGGACTGCTGGTACAGGCTGGGATCAGTCTGGATTCTGTAGACACTGTGAGTACTAAAAAACTTCAATTGACATTTCAACACCACAACCTGCTTTTCAAGAAGTATAACATTTACTGTAGAGCAGGAGAGAATGTTTGAGGGCCAAATTCATTATGGTTAATTAAACACATTAGCATATGCTGGGCGCTCAAAATGTTATGGAAAAGGGTTTGATTTTTAGGGAATGCATGAACTGACAAAATGTATACCTTGAAAGCAATGCAAGTCTACTTTGGGTTAAGTATCTGTGGGGCGCATAAATGATGTGTAAATGTATATTTCTTGTTGTGCCGCCTTCATCATGAACCTTTATTATGGATTCAGATCTTCTTGCCAACATTTGTAAAATAACAGTTGCTGACTTAAAAACAATCAATCATAAAAATCACATTAATAAATGCCTTCCCTTTATATACATAATACATTCCATAATGCCCACATCCAGACAGTAGACACTCCCATCTTAGGGAAAAAAATAAAACAACAAAACAAAGTAACATGATCATGATGAGAAGCATGTGATGGGGAATTGTGTGGAATTTTGTGGGTGTATTTGCAAATTTATCTGATTTAAATAATAAGTGAATCAGGTGCTAAAACGTCACAAATAAGTTATCATACATATTTGCAGGTTACTTTTCATGCATTATGTGCATGTTCATGTGAATCACGCCACATTTTAAAAGAACCGAGTGCAACCGAACTCAGACCACCTCCTTCGGGTAGTCTTGGGTTCGGTAACCCTGTGCTCACCTGGGTCCGCATGACAGCTTTCACATTACTGTACCAGTTTCTCAAACCGTGCCCCGATTCGAACTAAACTGCCAGTGTCAAAACGCCCTAAAATTCTGCTTTTTACTAGGGCTGGGTAATAAATATCGATTTCTCGATACTAATCAATTCTCATTTTTACATACCGATATCGATTCTTAAATCTCAAGAATCGATTAGTCATCCTGTTTCATTTGAATGAATGGATCATTGTATCGCGGCTGCGCAAATCCAAAAAATCGCAATAATCTTTGTCTTTGGTTACTATTGATATGAAACAAAGTCTCAATTTTCAAATTACGTCCATTTTCTTTAGAAATTCAAAAGCATAAATAGCGTTTTAGCGCTGTGGCGTGAGATCGCTCTGGCGCAGCTCAAGAGAAGCAGCAGCGCTGATCTCTCTTCCGGCTTAATAATACCAGTTACAGCGCGAAATAAACATGAATGAGCATCTGAAAGTGTGTTAAAAGATAGAGTACAACTTATCGAAATCCGTATCATGTCACATTGATTCGCTCAATCAGCGTTTCAACCGTGGAAAGACGTCAGTTAAACAGTTTGTAATCAATGTATCGTCATATTTACCTCAGAAAACCCACATAAACTCATTAGTCAGCTAGAAAAAATAACTCTAGAGAGGAGCATTTTGCTAAATATATACACCATATTACATATGCATTATAATCTTAATGTTCTTCAATATTTAATGCATATTTTAATAAATCTGGCAAGTTTTTATGACAGCCACCATTTAAATGTTTAAATTTCATATATTTTTCTTATTATAAAAATAAATAAAAGTGTAATTTAAGTGTTTTTTATAGCTACAAAACAGTTCATTATTACCTTCATATTAGGCTAATGAAGCCTAGTAGGCTACAACCAGACTCCCATAGTTTACAGCATTAGTTAAGAGATTTGATTTCCTTGAGAACATTTGCCATTTATTGTAACTGATATCCAAAATAATCAACATTGAATCGAATCGAAATCGAATCGAATTGCAAGCTTGTGAATCGAATCGAATTGTGAAATTTGCCATTGTACTTCATTATTCTATACCATATTCCTTGCCAGCAACATACGTCAGCTCTACACCTGGCAGTACTCAACAACTCCACAGAAATAGTGAAGGATCTTATCAATGCAGGATGCGACCTGGACATCTTTGACAATGTGAGTGCGGTTGAGTTTGAGTGTGGTTCATTTCACATTTACAAACGGAAACGGTGATGATTTCAGAGATTTTGAAAATGACTCAAATATTGTTCCTCACAGCGGCTTCAAACTGCTTTGCACATAGCAGCAGAACACGGAAGGCTGAACATCGCTGAGATGATCCTGATATCTGGAGTCAACCTCAATCTACTCGACAAGGTGCAATTTCCTGTTATCATACATGGGTGTGGATGATATATTTTCATATTGTAATACAATTCTGATGAAACAATTCAACAAAAGATGTTTACTTTAAATGTTACAGCAGAGGAAGACATCACTTGATGTGGCAGCACGAGCCAACCATGTGAATGTTGTTGACATGATTATCAAAGCTGATAGATTTTACAAATGGGAAAAGGTATGTTCAGTGTACATTAGGTTTAAATTAGTCTTATTTAATTGTTATCTATCATAATTAAGATTGTGTGCTAATTTTAATGTGTTAATTTGCCCTCCAGGAAAATGTGACAAGTGACTCTGACTCTCTGGTGGGAACGAGTCTTACCTTTAAGCAAGACCATCAAAAGGAGACACAACATATCCGATCCGTCCTATGGAAACTTTCCTCCAAGTATCTCAATCCAGGCGAGTGGAAAACACTGGCTCGGCACTGGAAGTTCTCTGAAGCACATATTCGAGCCATAGAGCAACAGTGGACAGGTACACCATCTAATGCTGTGATCTGCTGCCGATAAATACATTGAAGCTTTTATTCAGCAAGGGTGCTTTAAAGGTGCCCTATAATGGTTTTTAAATTATTTTATAATGTTTCCTGGGTTGCCCTTATAATGTTAGTATGTTTTTTAGATCAAAAATAGTAATAATTTAGAAATAAAAGGCATTTTTCCTAGCCTGATTTTAGCCTCTGCTTTGAACACCCGGTTTGAAGGGGCGTGTCTGCTGTGTGTAACCGGCCTCTGCTGTGATTGGCTGACATGCTTGCATATGAAATAGCTATGTAGCCTATTACATGTGAAACTCTCTCGAATAATTTTACTACAGCTATTATAGATTTTTACTATTACAGCTATCGAGATTAACGAATCGTGAGATGTTTTTGAAGTATTTAGATCTATTCCCATCACATAAAGTGTTGCTGTGATTGAGCAAGCAAAGGACAGTGAGTGTGTCGATCGCGAGAATGAAGATTGCAATGCAGTCTCTCTACTCTCTAATGCAGCAGACACGATGATGTAAATACAGTTAACGTTAGAGTTTCGTTGTGCAGTGTAACGTGCGTCATTGAATTCATAACGAGTTTGGCAAGTGTCCAGATAAACTCGCGCTGTGATTGTTCTTTGATCGCTTTCTTTCTGTATATAATTCACAATTTAAATAAGATTTTTTTTTCATCCTACTAAAAGAAACGATGTGAAGTTGATTTTTAATCACTGGTCTGAGTTACTGATGCAAAAAACAGTATTGAACGTATTGATTTTTGAAGTGAAAGATTACCTGTCTGAACTTGAACAACAACACATCAGCTCGATCCGAGGCCAGCTCTTAGCAAGTTGAGGAAACAGTCGTCGGTGAAATGTTTAAAAAAAAATTCTGAGAAAATAAAATTAACCCATTGTTTCTTCAGAGGCTCGGACGAAGGAACTAGAATATACTTTTGTATACATGTGTACATCCGAACACTGATCAACTGCCATGCTTCGGCTGCGCAGCTCCGTCTCGTCTATCACTGAACATGGGCTGGCATATGCAAATGTTTGGAGTCATACATATTAATGATCCCGACTTTTACGTCAGAGTCGGTATTATGTGGAGATTCGCCTGTTTTTCAGGGGTGTTTTTCAAAAACGAGATTTAAGTAAGAAGGAGAAAACAATGATGTTTGAGACTCACTGTATGTCATGTCCATGTACTGAACTCTTGTTATTTAACTATGCCAACATAAATTCAATTTCACAGTATAGGGCACCTTTAAATTGATCATGACAGTAAAGACATTCGACAGGAAAGACATTTAAAATGTTAAAAGATTTCAAATAAATCGTCATGAAAAAAGTATCACGGTTTCTACACAAATATTAAGCAGCACAAATGTTTTCAACTTTGATAATAATAAGAAATGTTTTAAGAGAACCAAATCAGCATATTCAAATGATTTCTGAAGGATCATGTGACACTGAAGACTGGAGTAAATAATAAATCTAATAATTGCACCCTTGAGACTAATTTCAAAATGAGATCAATCTCAACACATTTAAATGTTTACATTTTTTTTTTTACAAAAAATACCAGGATTGAAAAGAAAGTGGCACTCAAATTGTGCATACAAATAATTTCCTGAAATATTTTAAATCAAAAATTCAAAATGTCTCTAAGTATGTGAGGAATCTTAGATAGATATTGCTCAGAAGTCTTCCTCACCACTACAACTCAGACTTTACTGAAACAGTTACAGTAGCCGTTAATTTGCATCATTTTCCCAGATGTAGTGTATTGTTCTATGATCATAGAGCAGGCAGCCCAAATGTGTTCAATGTGATAGATATCGGCTATAGTGATGACAAGCTCTGAACTTTAAAAGGTTCAAAGAGCCACAAGGAGCACGGGCACAGAATGCTGCTCATCTGGCTGCACGGTGTGATCACCGCTGGACAAAACCCCATCAAGGGCTTGTACGAAGGTCTGGTCGGAATCTCAAGGATCGACTTGGCAGGTGAATTCAGTTCATGTGTATAAGCTCTGTTCATAAACCTATTCTAATGCATCATATGTGCATTATTTCAGACTTTTAGGAAGAATTGCAATTTGGAAGTCATACGTAGAGTTCAATTTTAACCCCCTGGGGTTGGCCACGACCACCTCCCTTTTTTCTTATTTGAACAAAAGAGACTCAAATAACTCAGTAGATTTTTGTCATACAGATAAGTGTTATACATCATTCACTGTTGAGTGTCTACTTTGATTTGTCTACACACAATAATGTTGTGCTTTTTGCAAAATAACAAAATTAAACAGGATGGGCATTGTCGTCTCTCTCAGTGAGGTACATTCTGAAACGCTTAAGAAAATGAACTGAAATTCAGCGAATACTTGCCACACAGACATGAAAGTCAGTACAGTACAGTACATTTATAAAGTAGGTTTCCAGTTGGGTTAGATGCTGGATTTTGAACAAAATTTGCCTCACTTGTAGCTTATATTTGCCAAGATCTGATAACTTAGAAAGGAAAAAATAGACATATTAGGATCAACCAAATTTTATATGCCATTTTGACTAGGATTAGGCCTAGATTGTAGGCAGAGAGGAAACACTCTTTATAACAGATCTTCTGAGTACTTATTAGTATTTTTAAAAGTTTCATTGTCTTTCACCTTCCCTCATTTATAACTTTCTTTTCTTCCATAAAGAAAGGATGCGACAGCAGGCAAATGCGGATCCGTCTTCTGCTAAAAAATGCAGTGCAATGTGATGGGAGATACATTGAGATCAGTCTGGATTGAGCGCAAACCAACCAGAAGATTGCTTTTGAAACACAGAGAACTAAGGGAAGCACACATACTACCTAAAAATACAACCTCAGTGATGTGACTTCACAACAAGAGCAAACATTCACAGCAAACCAGACTTTGGATTGAAACTATACGTTTCTGTGGATCCAGATCTGTTACTTTTGGAGAACAGGTAGATATTGTTTCTTTTCTTTGTCGAAAAATTCACAAAGCAATAACATGTCAACTCTTTGGTCATGCTGAAAGAATTTTTTTATGAATTTCAGAATTTTGTCTTTATGTCCTTTATTTATTTGTAGTTGCAGTTCCCCTTTGTCAGCTCACTATGAAGTACGTCAGAAGTGATTCTGACAAATGGGGATCTTGCTCAAGAGCCTATCTACTTCGATTGTAACTAAACAAGCCAATGCACAATGGCATGCGATAATTTCACTAGCTGCTGTGCAGCGAGCATATCATGAGCGGTAGGAGCGTCGCATCCTGTCTTGTCTTTCGCTTGTTCTGAGAGTGTTTTAACTAAAAAAAAACGAGTCTGCTTCTTCAGGAGAATGCCTGGTGTTGGTGTTACAGCACAGGCAGTACTGGGTGCAATCTCACAGAGAGCAAAACAGCAGATTTCACAGCTCAGAATGTTGTACCTTCAATGAGAATGTGAGTGCTCACATCAGGTTTGCACTATCGTCCTGTTTGTGTAGCCGCCCGCGGTCATCCCTGGGTGCTTCTGCACCAGAGAGAGCAGTTTCTTGAAAGAGTATACACATACATTGGCTTGTTTAGTTACACTCGAGCAAGATCTCCATTCGTCAGAATCACTTCCTTCGGGGAACGAGGGTTACTATACGTAACCGAGACGGTTTTCTGCTAAAATTGTTATTTTTAAAGGATTAGTTCACCCAAAAATGAAAATTCGATCAGTATTTACTCACCCTCATGTTGTTCCAAACCTCTATGTGTTTATTTGTCTATTTGGGCTGAAGACAAAGGAAGATATTTGGAAGAATGTTTTAATCAAACAGATCTCATTCCCCATTGACTACCGTAGTAGGAAAAAATACATACTATGGTAGTCAATGGGGAATGAGATCTGTTTGAATCAAACATATATCATTCCCCATTGAATCAAACATCTAATTCCCCATTGACTACCTTAGTAGGAAAAAATAAATACTACGGTAGTCAATGGGGAATGAGATCTGTTTGATTAAAACATTCTTCCAAATATCTTCCTTTGTGTTCAGCAGAACAAATAAACACATTGGAACAACACGAGGGTGAGTAAATACTGACAGAATTTTCATTTTTGGGTGAACCAACCCTTTAAGAATAGAAGCAAAACTAATGCTAACATTACCCAGGACACTGGGAAACACATGTTTAATGTGTTTAAATGTGTCTAATGTGCAGTACTGAGTCCTCCTGACTGAACACCTTGTTGATTATTATGGGATTCGCCAGACTGAAAGCCTGAACTTGATATTGTACAAATGTTATATGATTGTGGGGAAAAGGGTTGAAGACTGTGGTATGAAAATAATGGGGCGGCAGTGGCTCAGTGGTTCTTGTAGGTTGTCTACAAACTGGAAAGTTGGTGGTTTAATCCCCAGTTCCACCTGACCAAGTGTCGAGGTGTCCATGAGCAAGACACCTAACCCCCGCTGCTCCCGACGAGCTAGATGGCTCCTTGCATGGCTGACACCGCTGTCGGTGTATGAATGGGTGAATGTGAGGCAATGTGTAAAGCGCTTTGGTGGCCATTGGGTCTGTGAAAGCGCTATATGAATGCAGTCCATTACCATTTACCAAAATAAGAAAATAAACCACCACAGTATTTTATGCAGATTATAGCTTGGTTAACAATACTGATATCTCGATTTTAATCATTCTCATTTTGATATCCATTTGAAGCGCGCCTATCATCCAATAAGCTTTGTTTTGTTAATTTCATACGAAAGAAAGTTTTAGCTTTCATATGATTTTCAATTTTATTATGCAATTCAAACAATAGATACCATTTGGTGCTCTTAAATGAGCCATGACAGATTGCTGTAGCAATGAACCGATTATCAGTAGGTAAGTTAAAAGATACAGTACAACCTACTGAAATGTCCCATGTAATCGCTCAATCAGTGTTTCAAAAGCGGAAAGACGGAAAACTTTCAATATTGTAGTAATACCAACTGACAGGGTTCCCTGTACAGTTTTTACAGCATTACATGAGAGAGGCTAAAAATGACGTAGGCTACTGTACCTGATATCCAAAGCGATATTGAATCGCGATGGAAAATTAATCAAATCTCAAACTTCAAAATTCGAATCAAAATGTATCGTGAATCATGGAATTTGTGTCAATACCAGCCCTAATGCAGATGTATTTAATTATTCATAATTTCTGGATATGTTCAGCCTGCCTAAGCAAGATATATGTAAATGTTGGTTGTAATGTTTAACAAGCCTGCAAAAGTCCAAGACATAGTCTTACTGAAACTGTTTGATTTGTAAGTGTACTTGTTTGGCAGTCACAGTATGCAGCATGACCAGCAATGTTGTTGTTTGTTTGTTTTTTTAATTAAAATTAATTGTAGATTGCACTTTAACTATATCCAGAGATATCTTTGTTGTAGCTATAATGACTTTTGTAAGCATTTTACTAGATTGTGACTGAACAAGGTATTCAGTGCTGATCTAAAACAGGTCTTTTTAAATGTTAATATTGACATATGAAAATGTTTAGGTAAGATGCAAATTGGCAGACACCTGTGGTTCTTGGATAGTAACCACACAATACGTACACATTTCATTATGTACACAAACCCAACTGATAGGTGTTGTGACGCCACCTAGTCAAGTTGCAAACTGTCCAAGTAACTGGCTCATTAAACAAAAATCTGTGATCCTTTATTTTTGTTGATTGAAGGTTTTTGCAACGAAGTATTAGTGGTGTTTGCCAAGGCATTCTCCTTATCATGAGTATTAAACTTGTTAAGGTGCTCTGAGTGTCTATAACATATAGACATATGCTGCAGTTAAAGACAGCATGAAACGGAAGTTACGATTGTCTTTTCTTCCCTATTGTGACGTATATCAGAGTAAAAAGGCTTCTTGAACAAGAAAAAATGTAGGGTGGGACTTGATTTTGTCCATGGGGAGATGATTGGTTGTGGTTTGCTATTGGTCGATGTCATGTGAGTGACGGGTTGTCCCGCCCTCACGCCAGTAGAAACGTCATCACAGAAGAGAAGAGATGACGCTGCAAAAGGGAAAAGTTATTTTGATTAAAGATTACGAAGGAACATGAATTTAAAAAAGTTATGTGCATGGATTTATCACTTATAATAAACACTGCAATACTCAATTTTAAAAAAAAGAATTTGTTCATTTTGATTTCATGCCAATTTTAATGTGCTGGCTTTTTCAAAAAAAAAAAAATATTTTGACGTACCAGATCATAATATAATGGTACTTGATGAATGCTATATACATATACCAGGATATTCAGATGATACTGGTCCAAAAAAAACTAAAAACAACAACAAAAAAACTAAAAACAACAACAAAAAAACATGCTTATACTTAAAATAGGATCAAGAATCTAACGAACTTACTGTGTTGTAGAAATTTATTTGCATGCCATAAAATCCTAATTCATTGATTGATTCTTATGAAAACACTCTTCATAAATCTTAAATAATTAATGCTGTATAGCTATAACAGTGTTTGAATTGTATGGTAATGATTTAGTGGTTCATGAATCATAACTGTAGAGTTGTTTTTACAAAAGCTCCTTCTCACCAGAAAGAAAATACTAATAAATATAAGGTCTAATTATTACATTACAAACAAGGTAGAAAAGGCAGATTTGCACTCAATACAGAATTATTATTAGAAAGAAAATGCAAAACTTGTAATTGAATTACTGTACCAGTCATTTAAATAAGTTTTAAATCTACAACAATTATCAATATCTGGCTTTTGTGGTTAAACGGTTTTATTTTAAGTAAATAATGACACATTTTGATTTGTTTCCAAATCAAGGACTCCTCATAGGTAATTTGGAAAAAGTAAAAGATTTATACAATCTGGTGTTGAAATGAATTTCATTTTATATCAGTGCATGACTCAAATAAACAACAGAGATAATGATGCTGACAACATTCATACAAAAAAAACCCAAAACAAATGCAAAACAGAAGATAACCCAACATACAAAAGGCAGAAAAATAAATTCAAGGAGTAAAAAGTGCATTTTACGTATATTGTGTAAGGCAGCCGGGTCAAAATACGGCACTATATGAAAACCCTAACTATGTAATCAATTTCACTTATTTACAGTCATAATATTATATCAAAATATTTTCCATAAAGTAAAAATAGGCTCTATAAAGTCCATTCACATTTAACTGACTTAAAGGTAATAGAAAAACAGAAAACCGAAACGTGACCTCTAAATGTTGTGTAGCTAAATCAGGTCAAATTCAGGTCCTGATTCATCTATTCATCATTCAGAAAAATGTTTGCATGAAGCCTCTATGATTCATCATCACTCTCACTGTTGTTGCTCAGATTTGTCCTTTGCACCTCCAGCTCCTCTGCGCTGACCATCTCTGGACTGATGGCGGCGTACCGTGTCCCATGAAACTGGCGCAGGTGTATCTACAGATTAACAATGCAAATTAACCAGAGTAACAATGCAAATTAAGCCCCTGAATTCACAACCCTATTTTAACGATCTAAGCACATGGTCTAAAGCGCACGTGTCCAATCCAATTTTGCTAGTTTGATGACGGGATAAATGAATAATGGGTGTGTTTTGGGCGTAACATGCAATAAACCAATCAGAGTTTCATCTCTCATTCCCTCTAAAAGCCAGTTGCACTCGCGACTGGAGAAGCGTACAAAACTGAACGCTTCTCCAGAGAGCAAACGGATCTGCTCGTGCGCACTTTAAATAACAAAAATTAATAAATACTGTGCCATTGACTTTAGACCAGGTTTTTGTTGGTCAATGACAGTCTATTTCAGTTGCCTCAAAATAGCAACGCACCAACAACACGCCTGAACACACCACGTTTTCAGACCATATGCGCACAAATGGGCAAAAATGCATTTGCTATTTAAACAATGTGCTGCAAGACTTGAAAATGATAACTGCGTCAGGCTGAAACCAGCAAAAAAACACGTTCATCATCACACTGCATACACTGGGCCCTAGGGCTAGGTGTGTCGTTTTTATTGCTACTCAAAGATTTTAAGCTTGGTATCATAAAAGTGCTCCATATGTCTTCAAAACAGACTAAGATTTATGTTGTTATTCACTAGCTTTGTTTCCATCCAAAGTTTCACATTTTTCGCATTAAACATCTGTGAATAAAGCAACATTTCCATCCCATGTTCAAGAGAACAAAATAATCACTTCCTGAGAAATTGGCACACTATCTGTTATAAAAATAGAAGTTGCTGGAATGGGGAAAGCCACAGTGGCTATTTTTTCCAACATTATGAATGACTTTCGCCTGAGAACGCACAGATGAAAAGCAATAAACGCTGTCATGTTATTTGCCGTTCGGAGGCAAATGACTGGTGTTTGAGAACGCAATCATGTGGGACAGTTCTGGAGAACATTATACCAAATCATTAGGATGACAGAATTTGGCTCAGGCATTTCAGAATGATCAAACCAACATTTAAGATGCTGTGCAATGAAATTGGCCCACTTATCTAATCCAGCAGTCCAGTCCAATCACATCCTCAGTTGAGGAAATTCTAATTTTTTTGCTACACATCGAGGGATTATTTAGCAAATGTGTTTCCATTGTAGTTTATGCAGCACGTCTTCTTATTGGATGATTTTTGCTTCTTTTTTGAAGCTTCAAATTTTCTTCATACTATATTACACAGAAGAAAGAAAATCATCAACACCAGGGTGAGTAAATTATACAAATTGAAATTTAGGTTGAAATGTTCCTTTAAACAACTTGAAAAAGTGGACTCACTTGTATGTACAGGTTAACTTCTGCGCTTCTGCACAGATAGGGGAAGTTTCCGCCGGTTTTGAGATGAGCTCTTCGAGCATTTGGGTACAGCTTATACATCTCTTCCTTTGCCTCATGTGATAGGGCACTCTGATCAAAAACCTAAGAGAAAAGAAGGTCAAAATCATTTAAACTGTTTTTTAACAGTTTCATTTTCTAGCCTATTTTAAAAAAAAGACCTACATCCATTATGGTGACAGCAACATCCTTTATCTTGTGAGGTTCCACGTAGGAATTTTGGCAATTCAGCGTGAGTCGAGAAGCCAGTTCACTCTGGTTCAGGCTTTCCAGCTGAAGCACAAATAAACAAAGCACACTTTGTTGATAAATGAGCAAAGACTGAGACAAATTTATCTTCACAGAAGTTCACACGTCAGTATAAGACCTATTACTAACTACATCAATCCAGCTCAAGTACAAACACTAGATTTGGCTTGATTTATGTGTTTTACTACCCAATAAAATATTTCAGTACAATTATGTCAGCACACGTCAGTATAAGATCTATTACTAACTACATCAATCCAGCTCAAGTACAAACACTAGATTTGGTTTTACTACCCAATAAAATATTTCAGTACAATTAATGTTAGAACATTTAAATGTTTAAAAAAATCCAGGTAGTTTTTCTTGGTAAATGTCCTCATGGGAAAACATAAGGCATGGATATTTTTCTGTGGCTATTTTTTTTTTTTTTTTTTAATGGAGGTGGGTCAAAAGTTGTAATTAATAAATGATGTCATCAAAACTTCCAAAACAGTCAGAATAGTAGAAGTACTCACTCTGTCCACCATAAAGTCAATTGCATCTGCCATTTTTGGGTCCACAGGTCCTTTGGCGAAGTTACCAAGCACGATCTTTTTGAGCATGAACGCAGGCATCAACCAGAAACTAGAAAAGAAAGAGAATGAGAAAAAGTCCACAAGGATGGAGACATTACTACTGGGAAAGTTATCAGTATTCTGTAAGTCTTTACCTGTTTGCTGCCCATGTCTGGTTGAAGATCGATGTGTCACTAAATGAGTTGCACAGGACTAGAGAGTGAACTCTGGGAGATTTATGTGTGACTTCAGCAAATTTCTGAGCCAGGAATCCACCCAGAGAGGCACCGAACAAGTGCACCTGCACAGAGACACAAAACAAAAACAGGTTGTGAAAGAGACTTGTGAATTCCCATCTTGCATGCATATAAAATAAACAATTTCCTATACCTTGTCAAGTTGTAAGTGGTCTAAAAGCTTCCTGAATCCATCACAAAATTCCAGCAGATCCCAATAGACAGGATACTGGAGCTGTGTAAAGCAATATCAAGTTACATAAGAAAGCAAGCAATAATATCAGAAGAGCAGCACAAGGGCATGTTGTTTACATAAATTACCATGTTTGGAATGGCAAGCAACCGAATAAACCCTATTGATTAACAAATATCTTTTATAGCAGCCAGGTTTATCTCTAGTTAGTGTCTGAGAGAGCATACTGAAATGACGCGGTAGCCCCATCCGGAGAGAGCCAGGACCTGCTGGAAGAAAACCTCTGCGGTGCCGCTCACGGGTGGGAGGAAGATGATGGGACATCTGATATTTTTCGGCCCAGCATCATACAACGACCAGACTTTACTGTCATCATCATCCACAATTATCTAAAGACACAAAGGGAAAAATTCTCACAAATTAGCTACATTAGTATCATATGACCCAGAAGGGAAACAAAACATAATGTACATTTGATACAGCTGTCCTATGACTTTTTATTCTCGTTTTAATTCTACTAGCATCCTGTTTTCTGCCTTAATTCAAATAAAAACGATGAGATAGATAGACTTACTCTTTTCAGAGGTACAGTGCTTCTGAACCAGTTATAATCAGGAGATACTCTTATCTCCTCCATTGCTGTAATGCAAATTAAATGTTTGATTAAATAGGTGCAAGCCTCTCGGAATAACTGACATGATCAACACAATTCTTGTAATTTAGATGAAAAGAAGAGGTATTCAGTGAAATTTCATTTCATGAAAAAAAAAAGAAACATCAACCTTTATTGACTTTACACCCCTTTCATGTATTTCACCATAGAAAACATGTGACTAGAGTACAAAACGGTCTGGTGAGTTAATACGACAACTGAACATACATACACAATTCCAGCAATTATAACACTATATAAAAATAATGGTATCTCTAAAATACTCATTAAAACAGTAATGAGAGTGTTTAAGATGTTCGAAAATACAATATATGCCCCTACTAAACTATTGTTTGTGTACGTTTCACGGCGACGTAAATCAGGAGACCATTTCGAGCAATAGCTGAGAAAATGTTACCGTGTCGATTCATGAAATAAATCACCTTTTAATGCCTTTCATCCACAGGTTTGAAAAAACATTGTATCCTTTCGCTACATCACATGACAGCAGCTTCCGCAGCCAGAAGAAGCAAAGAGCGATTGACTGCCTACGATCACACCAGCCAATCAGCGACTGTTAACTGTGCGCGTGCGCATTGGAGAGCTCTATTAAAGGGATAGTTCACCCTAAAAATTACAGGGGAAAAAAATCTGTAATCTTTGATTCACTCTCATGTTGTTTAAAAAATGTATTTATATGGTAATATTTAAATGCTACTCAGAATGAAAAGTTTAATTTATTTTGAGTAATTGTGTTAATCTTGAAATAAACCCCGATAATAGCTTGTGTCCAATCACACGTACACGTTTGTACTTTTCTCTGTACAGTTACAGGACAGTTATTTATTTCTGTGGTGGGGAGTGTGTATTAGACAGGTGCGCAGTGTCGTAATTCAGTGTATTCGATTTCGATTGATTTATCGATTCATTTGATTCACTGGTGACGCAATTTATACATTGACGAAGCATAAGCGATTCACTGACCCGGTTGTTTGAATCTTCGCATATGGATTCACTCCTGTGATTCACTCTATGGATTCACTCATAGATTCACTGACACAAATGATTCTCTGTCAGAATGATTCAGTGATTCAAAAGTGTCATCAGTTGTTTACTTGTTGTATCACAGTGACTCGTTCCGACAGCAGTGTGTGTTTAGTTCAGCTGCACATAGCAGCTTCCAAAATAACGTATTTCGTATATTAATATGTTTGATTGATTTTTATTTAATGTACATATTCTGTTTAAGTCATTTATTATTGTTGGGCCTATATTGAATGGCTTTCAGTGGGTTAGCTCTCAGCTAGCGCTAACCTACCCAGCGCTCCTCAAAATCAACCGATTCAGTTCGTCAAAAAACAAAACAATTCTGAAACATGTCGTGTACGTGTGCTTTAGCAGCGAGAAAACTCATAAATTCTGCTCATAAAGGTAAGAAGAAAGTCGTATTTTGAGAAATGTTGATGTTTGTTTCTTTCTTAGTCTAGTTTTGCTAGCGCTGGTGCGCTAACATATTAACAAACAAATCATAAATGATGTTCAATGATACACAAACATTTACATCCACCCTCATATAGAAAAGTAGATTTAAATCCTTTATAAAGTAAAAAAAAAAAAAAAAAACATTATACGGTTGTTGACAAGTGCATCTATTGTAATGTTAGCCTACATATGAGAAATAACTATAACCAGATTGTTTATTAAAATGTTAACCTACAAGTGATTTAATTTAGGAATTGTTATGATGTTTAAGTTGTCTTTATTTATTTGTCTGTTAGTGTTGCCTGGTTGTTATTTTAAATCGTTTTCTAGATTAATAAAATGAAAAATGATTAGTGTTCTTTGTCAGTAGTCTGATAAGAAACATTATTTTAATGGTTGGATATTTGATTTCGGTTCTAGTAAAATGTAAATTTTGTTGCCAATATCCCGTAGAGGCACTCTAAACAACATGATAATGATTTCATAACTGGCATCATGTAATTGTTATTTTGAGTGAATTTCCTCCCGAAGGTCTCATGTTTGTGTTATGTGACACAGGAATATCTGGCTCCAGAGTCCAGTTCTTGTCACTGAGCCTCCCGGGAGCTCGTGAGGTTCGTCTGGCACGCCGTATACCCGTCAGGTCATTCTCCGAGACTTCTGTGTACTTTGCTTCAAAAGATGGGATGAAAGATGGAGATGGTGGAAAGGTACGATGATAGATGATACTTGTCATACACTACCTATTCTCTGACAACAAGGGTTTAAGGAGGAAATAACAGCTTGCCAAGATAATTAAGTTCATCCTCTTTCTGGAATTTGTTTTTGATATATGTATACTTGTCTTCCTTTTAAGAAATCTGTTGGTGAAGGAAGTGGAAAGAGATCCAGCTCAAATAATTCTGGTAAAGGAGGAAGTCAGCTGAGATGCCCTAAATGTGGAGATCCTTGCACACATGTAGAAACATTTGTTTGTGAGTACTTGATTTATTTTACATGGTTTAATTTTCTATTACCATTTCATTTTTATTTGATTTTGTTAATTTTTTTCCACATAATTGTTTGTCTGCTGTGTTTAATATGGGATTACTCAAGATGATCAATTTTATTACCGACCTCGTTTTCAAAAAGTTATGGTTTATTTTGGCCTTGTGCATGTTTAAGTAGGCCAGAGTGTTAACTGAACTAACTGTTCAATGCTAAAAATAAATCACACACAAGTTGCTTTTTCATCTGCTGGTGCTTTAATTAGTAACAAGGTTTTAAAGTTGCTCAGTTAAAAGTAACACATTGAGATTGCGATTTAAGAAATTCTTTATTGCTTTCTTATTTTATTAAAGGAGTAGTTCCATAGATATCCATGTCATTCTTTTTTCAGTCGAAAAGAAATTAAGGTTTTTGATGAAAACATTCCAGGATTTTTCAACATATAATGGGCTTCAATGGGAACCAATTGGTTCAATGTCCAA